TCTTCTCTTTTCCCCCCCCCCCCCCCCCAAAACTTTAGGCTCCGCCCCTAATATTTGATAGTCTACAATTCCAGACTTGGAGAATAATGACAAGACAATATATAAGAATTTGATAAGTGTGACGTCTATTTTTGTCTCTCGCTCGTGTTGTTTCAGAAGAAATAGATTGAACGTTCTGGATATTGCGAAAGAAAAATCAATTGACGCTCGCGAGGTGCCGTTTGAGCAAAGCTAGAATATTTTCTTTCATTACCTCTCTAACCTCTTTCGTTTCATATAAACTATCATTTGGAATTATTTCAGACTGGAGAAAATTGTAGAAATAGCCAACTATCATAGCTAGAAATGTTGGAAATGGATAAAAGTTCCCGTAGACGACTGTTGTTTATGGGTATAAGTATATCGTTCACTTCTATATTCCAGGTGAGCGTCAAGCATAAAATAACTCATTTTGCTTTTAGATGGGGTATGCGAATGCTTATCCAAACACTGCCGTCGATAGCTTTCGACGATATCTCAACGTATCATTTGCGTCACAAGGATATGATATGAACAATAGCAGGTATGCCTTGAAAGCTATGAAGTGCAGCTCACAATACAAGATTTGAATGGATTTGGTCAGCCATATTGAATATCTATTTTCTTGGATTCGCCCTTGGAAGTTTTGCAGCGGCTCCCATATCTGACAAAGTTGGAAGAAAATGTGAGAGAATCCACAATTACTTCATGATAATCAATAATGAACTTCAGGGTGCCTAGTTTTAGGAAATACGTTCAATTTCTTTTCTGCCATCCTAGCAACAAGTGCCATCTTGTTTTTGAATCCATTTTTATTCTTTATTAGTCGTGTGATATTTTCATTGAGTGCGGCTATATCAATGAATAGTTTAATTCTACTATTACAAGTATCTGATATATACCAGCAGAAAACTATATTTAATTGAGGAGTCATGTCCATCAGATATGAGAGGGATCATGTCATTCAACGCCGAAATGGCGTTTGTTGTTATGAATATGGTAGGGGCCTTAGTGGGGATGAAAGCTGTTCTGGGTGATAAGCTAGAGTGGATTACTGGGTATGTTCAATGTTACTGGAGATATAATGAAAGTTTCAAGACTATCTTGTATACCATCTTTGATATCTATTTTGGTCGCTCTGAGTTTTCATGAATCTCCTAAGTACTTGATAACAAAAAACAAAGAAGAAGCTGTAAAGTCGGTGTGTTTTTATTTCAACACAGGTTAGTAAAGGAGTATCACAAGCATTATACTGATATTCAGATAAGCAAAAAGCTGAGGAATATGTGAGAGTATTGGAGAATGAGAATGGTCAACAGTCGACCGGAGTTTCAATGGTACCGACTACTTACTTCGGGCTGTTCCTTGGTTGGTTTAACTTGATGATAGGGAAACATGTGTCTGAATTTTTAAGGTATCCTAACTCTCCAAATCACGGCATCCATTTGGCCTATTCTTTTCTTCTCTACCGAGTTTCTAATTCGTGCTGGAATAGATCCCGAGTTGGCTGAAGCTGTTTCAACTTTCATGTTATTCATAAGGTGAAATATTAAACAACAAACTGAAACCAATTCCAATTTCAGTACGTTATCCACAGTTATGGGCATGTTTTTGGTAGAAAACTGTCTTCGAAAGAATCTTCTTCTAATCACTTCAATAGTCAATCTATCTGCCCTCGTCTTGTTCTTTTTGTCTGATCAGTTCCACCACGTTCCATATATGAAGTATGGGTGTGTATTGGCGGTGGTTATGCACGGAGCAAGCTACAGGTAATCGAAAGACAAAACAGATTTAGTTTCAAAGATTCATTCCAACATAGTTGTGGACTTGGGCCTATAGCTTGGTTCATCACCGCAGAACTGGTACCCACGAGGAATAGAGCTTTCTGTCAATCGATAGCTCTTTCGATAAACCAAATCATAGCATTGGCTTTGAGTGTAGTTACATTACCCTTATATACTACGATCGGTAATAAAGAGGATATCGCATCATTGATTCATCTCAGTTTTCAGGATCATGGATCTTAGTTCTTCTGTTTGTCGTACCTGGAGCCATTTGTGTTACCATTCTCTACTTCTATTTGCCTGAAACACGTGAAAGAGACATCGAAGAAGTAACAAAAAATATGATGAGCCAAGCAAAGTTTTTGAAAAGGTGTGTATGCCTCTTCACACAATTCAACTTAATCTTTCATTAAGACAAGGAGGAGAACAAGATATTCCAATGAATTCGATAGCTGAAGGTTCTGAGTTTCCCAGCACTTAGTGAGTTACAGTCGAGTTTCATCAATATCATTCTAGAACGATTAGAAAGTTTAAAATATCTGTTATGACAAACAAATAAAATAATTAGCAAAACTACGTAATTACTGAAAACAGTATAACACAGTTCTCGAGTTGGAAGAGAGGGTCTGATGGAGACTAATTGTGCTACTCATTCACATGGCGAATTTGTAAATAAAACAATCAGACTATTGGTGCCTCACCTGTTTGAAACAGTTGAAATTGTGAGAAAGCATGATTGCTCATGTAAACGGAACTATCTGAACGCTAATGCTAGCTGTGAAGAATTGCCAAGCTGTCAGAGAGACCAATTATAATCTAATTGAAAGTTAGAAGATGAGCAGGAACTTAGACAGGTCTGCTCTGTTTTAACTCGAATATGATTCCTCCTGGAAACACTGTAAACACTGCTTCTTATCATTATGTTCTCTGTGACAAATAGTCAAGCAAAAATCGGAAGAAATCTTATATGAGCGGACTCTAATAATAGAATAACATTTGCAATATTCTTCTTCTCTAATCATATTATCCAATAAAGTAACTTCTCAACTCAAGAAAAATGTGGAAAAACTAATAACAAATGGTTTATTTGTAATAAATAAATAAATATTATATTATGTTCATATTAATAAAATTAATTACATGATATTCTAGAGTCTTCCGAATATACATGAGATATCATTAACTACAGTTGTAACTGCAACTCCTCCCGCATCAAGCCCGGTGAATGTCCATTCGCCATCACCATTGCAAACAAGATCAACTGTGACCAATTGGTCAATGTCCGGAGAAGCATTTGCTTGCATATTGAACTATAACATTATCGGTTGGCAACTATTTGATACCGAAACAATTTTTACCTCCATAAACGATAAGCCGGGAACATCTTCTGCTCCAGTACACGTTGCTTGTCTTGTGAAACAGCCATCAACTGTTTGGATAGGACTAAATTAAAAATATATTTTTTTGAGTGTTTGAAAATATATTTACAGAAGCTCGACCACTCCTGTTTCAAAACCAGAGCCAGGGTCCTCAGGTACGATGTAAGTATCAATATTCTCTGGACAGGATACGCATCCTGGATAAGATGGTTATTAAGATTGTATAAATATATATTCATTCATATTTTAAATTTTTTTTCTCTAAGTTTCTTCTTGTTGCTCTTCATTATTAACAACCGCTCTCTACTTCTGCATTTCAATAAATGAATGATGGACTTGGAAAGACTACGTGAATTACGTGAGTCACATGTGGATTTACAATCTATGCTAATTAATGAAAGCGTTGCTCTTAGTCAGTATGTAAGCTAGTATAGAAAAACGAAAAACGAGTTATTTCAACTTAGAGTGCTGAGAAGAAGAAAAGTGAGAAAACTCAGACAAATCATGACAAAACTAACCGGCTGCAGCTACTGTCGTGGTTGCCACTGGAAGAAAATGAAAGACTGTTTCAGAAGCATAAAAAGCCCACCTTCTGTAGTTGTAACCATTTCAGTTGTTGTTACCATCTCTGTAGTTGTAGCCATCTCAGTTGTGGCTAAAAGTTGATAAAACGAAATATCGAGCGAAAACATGGTTTTGCAACCAAAGTCATAATTCTCTTTCAATTTCAACGTGTTTGTTAAATTGAATAAAGAGAAGGGAAGTTATTTAGAAGCATGTCAATTTGCTTGAATCTATAGACATGAGGTTGCTTGTGAGTTCGGTGAAAGTGTATGTGATTGTTCTAATAGTGTATACGTGGGACCTGCAGTGCTTACTTTCTTCGTCCGCTAAAGTTGTTGTTACCATTGCGGTTGTTGTTTCCATAACAGTTGTGGCTAAAAGTAACTAATAGCAATTAGATGGTGGTTGTGAGCTTTTTCAGTTCAGAATTCTATTCCTTCAATTTTTGACAAAAGTATTAAGAGTATATTAAGAAAGCAGTGCTACTACTGCTACAAAAATTGAAAAGATAGTGCTGAATGGAAGCTTTTTCTTACTTTCTTCCGACATGGCTGTCGTCGTCGGTTGAACTTCTGTGGTTGTTACAACTTCTGTCGTCGCTAAAACGGTGAAAGAACGATTAGTCGGTATTAAGTTATAGCTGATGGGCATAGAGGATGAAAAGAGAGCTGTCTGCCCCCAAATTAATAGATTAAGCTGTCGTTAGTAGGAAGTCTGGGAAAACCCTTACTGTCTTCGACTTCTGTGGTTGTTGCGATTTGGGTGGTGGTCTCGCTTTGTGTTGTGGCTAAAACGGGACATTTTGGGAAACGATACAAAATAGTGAGAGTATTAGGAATACTAAGTAAAATCAGTTTGAATGTTAAGCTGAGCTTTGGGTACATAGACGAGGAAACTCTTACTTTCTTCGACATCTGTGGTAGTTGCGATTTGGGTGGTGGTCTCGCTTTGAGTTGTGGCTAAAAGAGGATATTTTGGGAAATGAGACAAGATAGCAAAAGGATGACGTTAACTATGTGAAATCAGTTTGGTAGTCAAACTGAGCATTGAGTACATAGACGAGGAAACTCTTACTTTCTTCGACATCTGTGGTAGTTGCGATTTGGGTGGTGGTCTCGCTTTGTGTTGTGGCTAAAAGAGGATATTTTGGGAAATGAGACAAGATAGCAAAAGGATGACGTTAACTATGTGAAATCAGTTTGGTAGTCAAACTGAGCATTGAGTACATAGACGAGGAAACTCTTACTTTCTTCGACATCTGTGGTAGTTGCGATTTGGGTGGTGGTCTCGCTTTGTGTTGTGGCTAAAAGAGGATATTTTGGGAAATGAGACAAGATAGCAAAAGGATGACGTTAACTATGTGAAATCAGTTTGGTAGTCAAACTGAGCATTGAGTACATAGACGAGGAAACTCTTACTTTCTTCGACTTCTGTGGTTGTTGCGATTTGGGTAGTGGTCTCACTTTCAGTGGTGGCTAAAAGAGGACACTTTGGGAAACAAGATATGATATAAAGAAGATGAAGAGTGTTGTGCGAAGTCAGTTCGATAGTCAAGCTGACCATTAGGTACATAGACTGGGGAAACTCTTACTTTCTTCGACATCTGTGGTAGTTGCAATTTGGGTGGTGGTCTCGCTTTGTGTTGTGGCTAAAAGAGGATATTTTGGGAAATGAGACAAGATAGCAAAAGGATGACGTTAACTATGTGAAATCAGTTTGGTAGTCAAACTGAGCATTGAGTACATAGACGAGGAAACTCTTACTTTCTTCGACATCTGTGGTAGTTGCAATTTGGGTGGTGGTCTCGCTTTGTGTTGTGGCTAAAAGAGGATATTTTGGGAAATGAGACAAGATAGCAAAAGGATGACGTTAACTATGTGAAATCAGTTTGGTAGTCAAACTGAGCATTGAGTACATAGACGAGGAAACTCTTACTTTCTTCGACATCTGTGGTAGTTGCAATTTGGGTGGTGGTCTCGCTTTGTGTTGTGGCTAAAAGAGGATATTTTGGGAAATGAGACAAGATAGCAAAAGGATGACGTTAACTATGTGAAATCAGTTTGGTAGTCAAACTGAGCATTGAGTACATAGACGAGGAAACTCTTACTTTCTTCGACTTCTGTGGTTGTTGCGATTTGGGTAGTGGTCTCACTTTCAGTGGTGGCTAAAAGAGGACATATCGTAGATGATCAGAATTCTAACTCTACCAAAAGAAGTACTGATCAAGCTTAAAAGGGTTAAGTTGAAATGTAAAGTAGCAATAAAGCAATGATGCCATTCCTTAAACTACTGCAATCTTATTGCGTTGTAGTATGTAGCTATGTCGAAATAGTTAGAAGAGAGAGAAGGAGAGAATAAAAGAATGAAAAGGAGAGGATAAAAGAATGAGAAAGAAAGGATGAAAGAGAGAAGAAGCTTTTCCGGTGAATCATTTCAAAAAAACTTTTTACCACACAAACTGTTTCTCAAAGTCTGGACCAGGCTGTTCCTTAGATCTTAGGATGAATTCAATCAGGAAAAAGAAAGACAGAGATGTTCGGGCAAAAACAATAATCAAGTTTTTAAAGATAAACAAAATGTTGATGAATTTCCAAAAGTTGCTGTCAGTCTCGTTCAAACTTTTTTTGATTCAACTCATATCATCGAACATTTTGGGCAGAAGATCAATCTGACCTGCGCTTAACCAGATTCAAGATACTTTGAAAGTTTTAATTTATTAAGAAGGTCTTTTTATCTTGCGGAAACGGAAAAAGTGTGCTGTGTGTGCGAGAACTAAATTTTGCTTCCGGACAGAAGTAGACTGTTGGTCTTCTGCAAGCATCATGCAGAAACATATAAAGAAGCTGATTGTGAAATGATAGAACCGAGAGTACATAGAGAGTTAGAAAAAAAGTTCTTCGTAACATTGAAATAGTTATTAGGAAGGATAGATTAGAGAGGTAATGTAAAAGCGAATTATCTTACTTTCCACCTCAACCGTGGTTGTTTCTTCTGGAATGGTTGTAGTGAGATCAGATACTGTTGTTGTGAGATCGGATACTGTTGTAGTGAGATCGGATGAAGTTGTTGTAACTAAAAAGTGTTGGTGTGTGTGTGTGTGTGTGTGTGTGTGTGTGAGTGAGATTGGCCAGTGCTCGTTGAATGTTAGAAGCTATCTATATCATGACAAACATAACTAGAATTAGAGTAGTGGTAATTCTGAAGTTATGTCCGTTCTATGAATTTTCGATATTAAGCTCACTGTGCAGTCGCGTACTATAGTTTTCCATCAAGTTAGTTTATATTTCATTTTGCATTGTATTCTCTTTGAAAATGTTTTGCCAAAGCAAGTTTTTAGCGTTTTTTTCTGGGAGATTTCTATTTTCCACATTATCAGTTTTTGTTTACAGAATTTCAGACAGTCTTCTATTGAAGAAGCTGTGCCAGCTTTCAAAAGATTTTGAAGAAAACTTAGATGATTCGAGTTTTACCTTCACTTGAAGCTGTAGTAGTTTCTGAAAAGTATCACTTTGAAAAAGCGAATTGAAGACTGTAAGAGCTCACCTGCAGCAACTGTTGTTGTGACGGAAGCGGCAGTAGCTGAAAATATATATGATGAGGACGTTGAGGATTAAATGATAAGAGTTAATGAAAGTACTTGTTTCTCCTCCTGTATCCGTGCGCATACATTGAGAAGTAAGCTGAATGAGGACAGTGAAGATTATTAGAGTTTGCATAGTTATCTAAAATCATATCATTTTAAATGATATAGGTATAAACGAATAAAGAGTCGAGGTAAAAGGATTCTCGTAAGACACAAAAATAACACTTCGCAATGCTCTGAATCAAAGGAAGAACATTAAAAATACAGGAATGGAAGATCTAGTCGAGATATCAGGAATCCTTTTATCTATGATTATATACTTATCCTTTTTCATATATTTGAGAGAATAAAGAACGGATCGTATTCTTGAAAAATGAGAAGCCAGGTGAATAGCTTAACGATAGCTTAATTCTCAAACAGGTTTATCTTTTGTATTGGAACTTCGCAACAACTGTACGAGATGAGACAAGATGAGAAAAAGAAGGTGAAGTTAGGAGGAGAAGATGAGAAATAATGTGAGAGAGATAATTTAAAAGCAAAAGAACGTATGGGCTAGAGATTTTCCCACCTTAATACAATGATCATAATTTTGGAGACCACAGAGATAGATAATCGAGAAGATTGTAATAAAAACACTGAATCAGGTGTAGCAAGATGGAAGAAATTGAGTAATTAATAATAAAGGCATACCTGGCCTACCCGTCAGGCCTTGAATGAAGCAAATGATCTATCCCGACCGTTTTATCAAGCAACTCACCCGAACGGCTTCGCCACCAAATGCATACATCCCACCTCCCACTCGTCTTGACTGAAATGGAATCAGTTGTCGTTTTTTGCGATTTTCTACCGCCCTCCCGTTAATTGGCCATTTAATTTTTTCAGGAAACGAACATAAAATTCTCAAAATGACATGAATCGCAAAACATCTTCCAGGTTCCAGGAAGAAATATCCTATAGAATTTAGCGGGAAAAATGAACTGAAATCTCTCTGAAGCTCATATAAGAACTATCCCAGATGGTTGAACTAGAGATTTTGATAGTTGAAGTTTGATCAAAGAAACAACATGACGACAAGTGATCATTCGAAAGTTATTCGCTCTGAGGAACGATCATTCCTGACCTATACACCTCGCTCAGTAATTGCAAGTCCGAGAATAAGATCATAAACCGTATTTGCATATATGTGATAAGTTCAATTAAAATTTGAAGAATCCCGTCGACTGACCGTTTTCTTCATCGCAAAATCTAGGTGACAAATTACAATATGTCATACTATTCTTAATTGAAATCGAAGATGAAGAGAGTAGAGCAACAATTTTGTTGAAACATAAAAAAAATCGAATAAACCAATCTTATTCAGTTGAGGCGGGACTGATTCACCTCAAAACTTTATTGCACCTGGGTTCAGGATACCTTTTTACAACACTTAATTACCAAGAAAGTTGTCGCATAATCTTCAATGAAGTATCTTTTCTTTGTCAGCTTTTTTTGCTGTTAAAAATTGTCATTTTATCAAACAATTATCTGTATGTCAGAGGACTGAATAAGACGGAAGTCATCTCCTTATCAGGGTTTTCTTAATGACCAAAAATCGCATAATGCAATGATATGGCGTATGTAGATGTTATATTTTCAGGAAAATAATTGAAATGGCAAGCTTGTTCAGCAAGAAGAATCAAAAAATCGAAAACTTAAAGAATCAAATGATATGAAAGCGTGTATGCCCGTATGTTGTTATGGCAGTTTTTGGTTTGCAACTAAACGTTTCGTTATCTTTTCAATAAACTCATCGGATGTTGTTTGGGATGTTCCAAGAAAAGCTTGAATAGTTTATAAGACATTCTTTCTCTTCCTCCTCTCCCTCGCCTCTCTCTCTCTATATCTCTCCGTCTCATAGATGCATTGTTATCGTTTCCGAATTCTAAAACCGTTCTGAACCTAGACCTCAAAATCGCGACAAAAATCCGAATCCCCCTGTTATACAGTTGACGTCATCTCTGTTCGTCAAACCTGAACTTATGAAATGATGCGACACGATTGTTCGGGCTTTTTATCTTTTGTCGATCGAATTTTTTGATGTCTCTATTAGTTAATTATTATTCTACATATATCTTATTATTCAATCTTTCTCCTGACTTTCGAAACTAAAAAGGAAGTTCTTCTAAAAACGCCGTCACCTATATCGTTAAAACTAATAGCATTTCTCAACTATTCTTTGTCGAAAAAAGGATTCTCTGATAGAATAGACTCGATATGGGAATTACTTCCTTTCAGCACCTTTTTCCTCTTAATCAACTAACTGCACCCGACTTGTCGTATCTGCATATCAAACAAGTTTCTAAGATAATCCCGCAATGCGACTTGACGCTTCTTCACCGCAACTTGACGTCACCACGTGGAATTCTTATTTTATCCTGACCGAGTGTAGTGAACGGTTGCTTCTCGATTTTTTTTTGGAATTCACTTTAACACTAATTCTATGAAAGACAAATTCCTTTATTTCAAGATATTAAACATTAGTTTGGATCAAATCATCATGGAAACAATGTTAATTCTTCATCGGGAATAGTGAGGTGGTGAGAACATTATCGTACGATTATAGGAATTAACATTAAGGAATAAATTAGTATTAATAGATCGACAACTTTTTAAGATATGAAATAAATAAGGATATATGAAATGTTGATTAAGCATACGACAAAGTAGATTAAATAGTAAGCGAGTAATCAAAATGTTTGATACCGCTGAATGAAAGCCGTAACGTAAATGAGTTCGAATGTTGTATTAACCCGTTAATTATTAAATTTAATTATTATTTTCCTGGGGATCAGCAATTTCAATTTCTGAAAGTTTCTATAATTTACTCCTCATACCATGCTCAGACTTACCGCCGTTAACGGCTCGCTCGGCACTCTCATCGGCCATTGGTACTTCAAGGTGAACATTTGGTTGTGGATCAGGAACGTACTCCTCCTAATTAATTAATGAGATCAAACTATTAAACTTGAATCTAACTCTTTGGGCTGGGAATCCTCTAGCTTCGGCAAACGCATCAAGATAATTGGTGAAAGATCGAAGAATGGCCAGTTCAGGATTATGAATAACCATCGCTCTGAAGGTGACAGATAACTTGAAAATAGATGTATAAAACTCACTCTCCGTTGTTGAACATTCTCAAGAATTCACGGATAGGTAGAAGAGATTCAACTCCCAGTATTCTGCCCAAGGTCAACTCATTTTCCAATTCAGCTAAGCCGATAGGTGGAAGAACAGGAGGATGATATCTGACAAATGTGGATTGAAGAATTAAAGTGATTCAGTATCTTACTCTCTGAAAGGCCGATCACTTCTGGAATAGTGGAACCCAATCGCTCCTACTACAGTTATAGCCCGACGGCGCATGTATCTCAGGAAAGTTTGAGGAGATATAGAAACGTTTATGCATGGAGAATCTCCGAATAGTCCACGATATGCAGCAACCTTGACAACCCTTTCACCCGTCTTCGTATTAGGGACTGCTGGTCTTATATCTCCTGATAGAATAAGCATGTAAATAATCTAAAACTTTTGACTTTAAATGGTTTCGCGTCGGTTACATGCCTCCTGATGATATAAACGTTCATGACATATTTCTCTCAAACGTGAAACACGAAGTCTCAATTCGTCATCAGTAAGAGTGGTCAAGAATCCGCGAGGGACGGCTAAAAACAATGAAATAGAAGTTGAACTTAAAAGCAATTATCTGTGCAAACCTGAATATGATTCAGTGTACGCGCTGATGACATTAGTGGGACCGACTATAAAAACAGAATGCACCTAGTACTTTAGAAATATTACCTCTTGCGGGCATAGTATCAACTGCTTGGTTGGGAGCATTTTGTCGAGGTGCAGCGTTCCTGCTTGTGCTGGCGGCATTTCGATTAGCAGCAGATACAGGAACAGCGGGAGCAATAGCAACCGCCACCGGCGCATTCTGAGGCATATTTCTAGGCTGAGCTTGGTTGGGATTCGAATTTCGATTCTGATTTCCATTGTTAAGAGAAGCTAAAAAGAAACTATGTGAAAAATCTGTCTCCAATGAATCCGGTATGACCTTGTCCCCCTCTAGCAATCTGGTCAGTAACTTGACGTCTCATTTCACCTCCGTCTACAACCCGAGATCCACTTTGAGCTGGTTGCGCAGAAACAGCAGGTCCATTTGCATTAAATAAGCCAGTTGGAGCGTTCACTACTTGCATGTTATTCTCCCCATCTCTTCCTCTGTACGAAGGATTCAGTTCCATTCGTATAGCGTTTTCGGCAATCAGAGCAAGAGCGTTTTGAGCCATATTTGCGGATCTCGCATTATCGTTATCAACTTTGCTAGGACCTATAAAGAATGCACATGGTACACAAAGCTGGTGGTGACACGAACCTTCGCCTGTGATACTACTACTAGTTGGCAAATTGCCTGACAATCCTGTTGTAGCACATCGTAAAGTAGCAATTGCTTCCTGAACTGCAGAGCACCAACTATTCAAATGAGAAGTGTGATCATTGAGCGAAGGAATCATGATAAGTAACTCTGACAGTAATCCTTGGAAATCTTGAAAAATACATTGAATTGAACAGATGATTGATCAATTATTACCCAACAACACTTCAGGAGAAGCATCTGGTCTGACGGCGACTTGTAAAAGACGTTCGATCCTCTTCAAGATATCTAGTGCCATATTCCAAGCAACAGAATCATTATTAACCATACCTAAAATGAAAAGCACAATTAAACAGTATCACCAAGAACTTCTTACGTTTAGTATACGATAAATGAAGTGAAATATTATTCATCATGTCAAGTAAGCTTCTCTGTCTCTCGGACCAAACACCATCCCGAGCAGCGGAACTCCTAATCAGTCTAATCAAGTTTGTAATATCGGCTTCTGTTTTTGAATCGAGCTTCAAAGGTTGAACATCTGAACAGACAGAGTTTTTCCTTCTGCCTTTTCCAATTGACTCTAACCTATATGAAAATCATAACAAACATTGATCGACACATTAAACTCACGTCCGACCACTAAACCCTCTACTCTCCAGTTCTTTATGATCCATAGGCTCACTGATAGCCACGCTCAAATCAGGGCTCTGAAATTTCACGATAGGAATAACACTTTGACTTTAAACCGACATGAGCATCAGCGGGGATTTTTTCCAGTGAAGAAAACCGTTGACAATCACCGGCAGGGAAGCTCTGATTATCTCCATCTTAAAGAAAACGTATTTCAAACGAAAGTCCGTGATGTGATAACCATTTTTGTTCAACAGCTCCAATTCGATGTCGTTACCTCTAGAAGTAGCCCAGCAAGCTGAACCATTTTCTCTCAACACTCGTGCCTGTTCGAAATGATGTTTAAGGATAATATGTTCCTATTTTTCTTACCCTCGGTACACCACCGGTAGAAAACCAACCAGCGATGAATGCTATAGACAGAATGAAGAAAGGTATGGCTGGGAAAATCAGGAACACAGCTACAACAGCATCAGCTCGATAGGGCATGTATACGTTTTCCAGAACACAGTGAGAGCTAACGTAATCAGAGTCCTCGACCTGGAACCAATCACTCGTTCCGTTCTGCATGATAGCAGTAACTTTGCACCTGAATTTCAAGACATATATAAGTCACAGAAAAAATTGCGTGAACTTACTTGATATGTTGTTTCACTCGATCGACTTCCTGATCGGGATCGACAGCAATGAATGAAGCATGAGTCAACCAACTCAGACCGATTGTTAAAATGACCGATATCAGAATGGCAACTAAAAACAAACGTTAACTGGATTTCTTCACTAAGACTTACATGACCAACGTGGATAAATACCATTGCGATGTCTTTCTCGGTAACTAGTCATATTTCGAGTATATAGAAAAGCGAACTGCTCTGCTAGAATGTCTTGAGCTTCGCCTGGAACAGCTATAATTAAGAAGTTTAGGACTCGAACAGTAAAGAAGTATTAATTTATCCGAATAGAAAATTTTACAACATTCTTGATAAGTAATCGGATGCCATCTCAACTAACCTTCAGGAGCGATTGTACTTTTTAGATCAACGTATGACTTCATTTCGAATTCTTTCAACTTTCTTGCATATATGCTGCCAGGCTTACGATCCCTGGAAAGAAAAGTTTGCTCTCAACTGAAGCTGATCCTAACCTGTCGTCTATTTCTTTGAGGTTAAGGTTGAGATCTTCAGGGTAGTCGGTGGGACCGAGAGTTTCATCCTTTTCAGCAACAGCAACATCTTTGAAGTTTACGTTTTTCAAATCATCAATTCCGTAAGCTTTAGCGTCATCAACCCACTGAACATCTCAATATAATAAACTCTATAAATAATTCAAACCCAAAGATATCGATAAGCACGAAGCCTATAATAATCTTCAATCTTAGCATAGCGTTCCCGCGTCTCCTTGATGATGTCTTCAAGAATATTATCTGAACTCTCTACATATAAACGAGAACAAGGTTTTTAATTACCGTCCCGGACAGATGCAAACGCAAAACAAAGGCTGCCGATGACAACGTACAGGGCAAATATAGGCACCAGGAAAAAAGAGGAAAGCTTCCCAGTGGATAATAACCCTGTATGGCACACTCCTGTTATTCCATCAAAAGCTTGCTAAAAGAGCATTAATAAGGAGGAAAGTAATTTCTTAATCTTACCACATTAACGAATGCTAGAACGATGGGAAGCAAAATAGATGGAACGTTGATCGAGAGCATCAATCCTCCCCTAATTCTAACTCCTTTACTGAAAACCAAAAAACTTCTTAGGGGAAAAAGGTTCAAACATACACTTTCTTTTGATCTTGGAAACAAGGTGACCAAATGTTAAATGCATAATGTGCAAGTAACCATAAAAGAGAAGAAAGATAACTATAGTGAAGAAACACAGACTGCCATACACACCTAAATAGCAACATAAGATATCTTAACCATGTTTCTCATTACCAGTCAAAGGCTCTCAAATCATTACTTCGCCGAACACCGCCGGTACACTCTGCAGCATCAGCAAAATATGAGATTCCCGTGGAACTCCAAATTAAGAAGTATATACTAGCGGAGAATAATGACTGAGTGAAACAGTAAGCAACAACGCTCTTTATGTATATGCGCGAGAAAAAGAACAGATAAGCCTATAACAACAAGTTTTCAAAAATATAAAAGCAGGACTGACCCATATGATAGAAAACAGGACAAAGAAGAACACGCTGAGAAAAAACTGTGCAAAAATTTGATGATCACGATAGAAATCAGGAATCTGCTTACTCCTACAAAACTTTTAACTAGAGACAAAACGCGTGTATGATTACCTGCAAGGCAAGAAGCATGAATCAATTACAGGTCTAACTGCTTGGTTCAAATCATACGGTTTTTCCACTAGCGGAGAAATGCATTTACCAGGAAATTCACTGTTGATGGGCAGTTTTCCAACCTGAAATCTTAACAAAAAATTCATGAAAGATGAACTCACTGAGCAAGAATCAGAAAAGAATTTCTTAGACAAGGTTTTGTTTTTGCTACTCTTAGCCAGGAGTCCATATGTATCATCGTTACAATCCAACAACTCCGGGAAGAAACCAGCTCTTTCAATTTCATAGCATTCTTTTTTAGCCAATAAACAGTTCTGACGGCGAACTCGAGCCCATATTTCAATTGTACCAGTCTAAGCATCAGTGTATTAGCAACGAATTTTATTTAACTGGAAACCTCCAGTTTTCCTTCTGTGGTTTTATGATAGAATTTGTGATATGCACAAGGACGGAACATTCGTACGCAAATCAGAGGAGCCAATGTTTTCCAACATCTGAAAGAAGGAGAATCTCTTCTCTCAATTTTGCTCTTCCTCACTTTGGAAAAGATTGTAGTATAGCGTATTCAGAAGGGAATCTGACTTCGAAAGGCTCATGAACATACGAGTAGTTTATTGGAATTCCGAAACATTTTAATCCGGGGTTGGGTGCATTGCCTTAAATTAATTAAATCACTTTCTTAACTCCATGTTTCGACCCTCAACAGACATATCTATACTTGACGCCTGGGTAAAAAGGAGCCTCATAAAAATCAATACGCCTATGCAACAATGGGTTCTTAGAGACCCGCTTCGGAAGTTCAAAAAAACTCACACATTCTAGGAAAATCGGTTCCATTAGATGGGAATTCAAGTTTACAAGCAGAGTTACATTTCCATATATTACTTTCGCAATTTCTGCCCGTGAGTACTGCAAGCGCTAATTTCTGAAAAAAAGAAAATAATATGGCTTCAATCATGGTTATGTTAAAACCTTATTAATATCGACTTTATCATCATTTAAAACATGATCAGGAAGAGATTGTGATCGAATCTCTTCTAGTAAATCGTCGTAATCGGGATCAGAGTTGACTGCAAAGAGATGTGCTAATGCAAAGACTTTAAACTGAGTTTACCTTGGTCACAAACGTGAAAAAAGAGCAGAAAAGCGAGAACCTTTTGAAGTCGCATTACCAGAAACTACAGTGTTGGACACCAAATTAACATCTGCAAACCCATATTAAGAACGGAATGAAAAGATAACGTAAAGTGTCAAAGAAGAAGGAAGGCTGTTGTGTTGCTCAACGAAAAGAAAACGGCAACAGGAGCGTGTGCGAGATAAATGAAATGTTTAAAACCGCAACATAGCTGACCATGTGGTGTTGATCACAATGGCAACAATCATAAACAGAATAAAAAACTAGGTAGTGAGATAAAACATATGACGTTGAACGCCCCATGGTACTTAGTCACATTCTGCCAATATATAGCAGACTGAGACTGGAGAGCTGTGATGCTACTCTAGTAACTTCTTTGAACTGAAATGCCATATAAAGGAATCCGTAAGCTATCGTGCCTGAAAAGCAACTGGACGTCATATCACGTAGTTTATTTAAAAGAGCCGCCAACTAACATTTAAAGTATAACATACAAAATACAAAAAAACTTTGGAACAAATAACAAAAAACAAATGAATGGGTAGCAAGCTGCTCGACGATGTTTGTGACATCAGACTACACCAGACATAAAAGGTCAAGCTCCGCCCACTTTCCTATATTGGGAAATGCGTTTTATGACGGCTTCTAATTGTCAATTAATTTCTTCCCAGATCAATTTTTTGATTTTGTTCTTTCGCGATTTCTATTTAAGTAAATGTGAGAAAGTGAAAAATTTATTAGAAATTATTAAATAGAAATCTATAAAACTCTACAAACAGCATCGATCACTAGTTAAATTTCGTAAAACAATGAAAATGAGACCTAAGTAGGGGGATCTTTTAGAGTAGTGGTTAAAAAAAGACTAAAACATGTGAAAGAAACTGTCAAATCAGCTTGCATATACACAGAAAATGCATTCACCAGATAATTGATGGCACGTAAAATCGAATAAGACACAGCACAAGCTTAAGGAGCAACTCCAGCTTTTTTAGCCATACTATAGAAATCAGATTTTTTGTCAGCCAGAAGTTTTTTGGGGCTGTCGAACTCAGAAACTCTGCCTTCGCTAAGCACAATAATTCTGCAAAAGATTAGGATATTTTTTTTAGCAGCTGTCTGCATACCTGTCATAATCTAAAATAGTATTCAATCTGTGAGCGATAGTTAAAACAGTTGAATCGGCAAATTCTTCCCGGATGGTTCTTTGAATTAATGCGTCGGTGCTCACATCAACCGCAGCAGTGGCTTCATCGAGTACCAAGACCTTTGACTTTCTCAATAAGGCTCTTGCCAAACATACTAATTGGCGCTGTCCGACACTGAAGAGGAGAAGACAGATGAGGACAAGGACAAATTATTTCAACCTAATGTTCTCTCCTCCTTCCGTTATTTCATGTTCCAACTTAGCAGGCTGCAACATAGCGAAAGGCTTCAAGTTTGCCATTTCCAAAGCATGCCAGATATCATTATCACTATGATGTCCGAAAGGATCGAGATTGAATCTAGAATGCTCATATAAAGAAGATGTTGAGATACTGATTGCACCTTAATGTTCCCGAGAAAAGAACTGGGTCTTGAGGAATAATAGTAATGTTGCTACGTAAATCATGAAGACCAAGTTTTGCTATGTTTATTCCATCAATTACGATGTTTCCTTCGGCTGCTTCAATCATGCGGAATAAAGCAAGAGTGATTGATGATTTTCCTGCAGACATTTGAGATAAAGCATTGCTATAATCAAACTCCACCTGCGCCTGTTCGCCCAACAATTCCGATCTTCTCATGTGGACCTATTTCAGCATTGATGTCCTTTACAACAAGATCAAGACCGGGGCGATATCTGATTATGTAAAATAATACATAACGCCTTAAGATGTTTTCCCAAACCTGGTTGAGTAATTGTTAAGTGTGATCACTCCAGAACTAGGCCAGCCTTTCGGTGGTTCTTCACCGTCTAATGATTTCCATTCTGCTTCTGTCACAGTATCAGAATATTCCTTTACCCTCTCAACCGAAACTATATTGGTCTCAAGTTTACTAATCTGTCTAACAGCAAAGTTGAGAACGGTAGTGATCTACAATAAGATTGCGAAATATACAAGACAAAAATCTCCTGACTCACATTAAGAGCATATGAAACAGATAAACCTATATCTCCGGAGGATGTTGTTTCCCTCATAAGAGCAGCACACAGAGCAGCAAACAAAACGATACTGTTACCCACAAATTCCAAGCGTACAGACATCCATCTGTTAGCCACATAACTCAAATAACGACACTAAAACATTTATAATTAAATCCAAACAGTTTGATCAAGCTTACTTGAACATGAGCATCTACTTTGTTGTCGGAAATTTTGCAAAAACGGTCTACTAGTCTATAAGCTCGAATAGTTGATGCACCCTGAAAGAACAATGAGAAATTAGAATAACCAGACACGTGAGTAAAACGTGAACATGAAAACCATTTCTTTCGTAACGAAGCATGTATACGGTTGCTCATAAAGTCGGCCAAAAGCCTGTTATTATTAGATAATTTTAGAATTACCTGAATACTTTCACTAAGGTGACTGTAAATTGGAGATCTAGTGATGGATTCTAATCTTTTGAGCTGTCGTGAAGTAGCAATATAATAACGCTGAAAGAAATATCTACTTCATCAGCGTTTCACTTATGTATTGACTGACCATAACTTGAAGATAAATGATTCCCAAAGGAACGACGCCTATACCGAAGATTGGAGTTGAGATCATAATCATTAGAATTGTGGAGGCGACTTGCATCAGGCATTGAACGAAGAATTGAACATTCAAAGGTAACAATAAATCAACGGTTTCAATATCCTAGAGGTGAAATAATTCTGACATGACAAAAGTGGAGCACTCACTTTTCCAATTCTATTCAGAATTCTTCCGAATGGAGTTGTATCGAAGAATGACATTGGAGCACGGAAAATGGAATGTAAAAGTGGAGCATGCAGGTTTTTGGAAGCAAGAACTCCTCCGAAAAGTAAAGAGAGCATACCGACAAACACAGAAATAACTGAAAATTGAGTATTAGGTTGAGTTTCATTATCTGATACTCACTTTCAGCAAAACCGAGTGCAGCATAAACACCTAAGCGAGTGGGTACACTCTGAGCTGTTTCATTTCGTTTGTTATCGTTAGACCAACTCGTCAACCAGAAACTTCTTGCCATAGACAACGCTGTGCTTATTGTCATTCCAGTGAAGAAAAGAACAGCAAGCGTGAAACCCATAGCTCCGAAGTAAATGGAATAAGTATCGAATTTGACCTGAGTTCAACTTGCTTCATCAAAAAAATGTTATTATACTTACTCGACCAGTTTCAACTCTTTCCACTTGTGTTAGTTGTCCACCACCTCCGCCGGTTCCCGATGATACAACGCTCGGCTTAACAGTAGATAATCGCCTACGTTTTCTTACAGTCGATGTACTCATTCTTCTCTTAGCTATGATGCCAGAAACAGTTGACATATGGGATGTTCCAAGAACCTAAAAGCAGATTTTGAAACAACTATACTCTAGCGTAATTACCGAATCGATAAGAGGAGATTCAGCTACAATCTCATCGTCATAGTCAATGTCGCTGCAATCTTCATAGCCAGCCTCTTCTTGCGCTTCTTCTTCTTCCTTCTTTCGACGATCACGTTCCTCCTTTTCACATTCTTCAAGTAAAGGAGCAAGAGCACCTTGCTGCATTAATTCAGCATAGCTACCCTCATGCTCAATTTTACCGTCTGGAGTTTGAATAAGCTATAGGTTGACTTAGTATAGAGCTTACCATTCATGATAAGAATCAAGTTTGAATGCTTCAAGAACGATAATTCGTTAGTTACCAAAATTCTAGTTTTGTTTCTCAACATTCCTTCAGGACCAATAACAGCAGAGAAGAGCTGAATAGATACAATTTGATACTCAAAACAAACCAATCCAAAGTTACCTGGGCACCAACGTGTGAATCAACGGCACTCATAGGATCATCAAGAAGGTATACATCATGGTTTTGATAGACTGCACGGGCAAGCGAAATACGGGCTTTCTGCCCACCGGACAAGTTGATTCCTTTCTCACCAATCTCTGTCATATCTCCCAAAGGTAACATTTGGAGATCAGGATACAAAGCACATGCATCCAAAACACGGTTGTAGAAATACTCATCAAACCTAATATTACTGTAAGCAAGGACAGCTTCTCAAAAAAGCTTACTTCTTTCCAAATGTGATGTTTTGTCGCATGCTGTTGTTTTGCATCCAAGCTTGTTGAGGAACATAGGAAACTCTTCCGCTCATACCGATATATCCTCTAAGTTTTTCCATTTCGCCTGAAAATCGATAGATAAGGAGGCTCATCTAAGCTCTAATACCTAGTAAAGCTTGCAACAATGAACTCTTTCCAGCTCCAACTCGGCCAACAACAGTAATGAGCTGCCCCTTTTGAACAGAGAAATTAAGTTCCGAAAGTGAGGTGGCACTCTGATCTTCGGGCTCCCAAGAAAGATTAGCATCGGTAACATTAATGCAATCATCATCTATAAAAATCGAGAAGTAAGAAAAAAACTTTGAAACTAACTATCGCGAGCTTGTGTGTCGATGCATTCCTGTGACAACTCCTCAGCTACCAAGAATGCTTTCAGCCGTTTGTTTGAGACAAAGACCTTAAATGAAAAAAATTTGGAAAAAATTACGAACAGGTACTTACTTGAACAGTTTGTGTTATGAGTTCAGCAACTTGCGACATGGGCGAGCGCATTTGATTGAAAAGTGTGAGAGAAACAAAGGCAATGTTAGGTGTCAGAACATTCTTAGGATCAATGAAAATGAATGTAGAGAATGTGAATAAGGCGACCTAAATGTAAGCAGTATGATTTCGTTGAAAATTAGTTAAATACCAGGAAAGGTGAAGCAGTGTTCAACATATCAGAGAATGTGCGAAGGAAAGATGCTTTCTTGATTAGTTTCAATTCTTTCTCACGGAGAGATACAATAACACTTTCCATTGGAGGCTCCCAAGCATAAAGTTTGATAACCTTCACAGTTTGTTAAAAAAAAGACGAAACAGACTAATAAGAATACCTTTATGCCATTCAGCACTTCATTAACCATTTTGGTTCGTTCATCTTTATATTTCATTTGTTGAACTTGCCATTTTCGTATCACCATTGTTATAAAGAAGTTGATGGGGAAAAGTGCAAGCATTACGGCAACACCAGACATGACAGAAACTCCGATTTGTCGCCAAAGGAAGAAGAGTGATAAACCAATCTAAAACTATACAATTAAGTGTCTCCTTGCTTGAACAAACCAGCAATGGATTACTCCAGTATTGCATAGTTTGAGGAGAGATCTGTTGGAATCTGTCAATATCAATTGACATTAGATTAACGATTTCTCCGACAGTGCGCTCTCTTCTGGCAGCATTGGATAGTCGCAATGTCTAATAAAGATGAACATATGAATTATTATAATATACAAGCTTACTTTTTTGTATACGGCAGCTGTTAGACATGTTTGAACTCTGGTACCAACACGATACATCAAGTAAAAGTAATGTGATTGTAACAGTGATGATAATTGTGAGCAACCAAACATTGTTAGTGCAAGAACAATACCCTGCCATAAAGGAGCTTCGGGATGTTCAACAAAATTGATGAGTGATCTGAAACGATGCTTGCTAATCTGGTTCATGAATAGGAATTCTTACTTAAGTAGTACAGGATTACAAAATATAAGAAGATCAGATATTAGCTTTACAAACATAGCTGTGATGACGTCCCATTTAAATAGTTTGAACAAGCACCAAAGAATGGAAGGTGGTTTAAGAGATGGGGGTTTAATTGGCAGAGATCCATAGTCGTCCTGAAAAAAAATTTTGAGCTTCTGTGTTGCTTGAACAGCATACTGTCTCCTCAGTCTGAAGTAAGGGTGTCTGATCAGTACTGGCAGACCTAGACCTTCTTGTGCTTGCACGAGATCTAAGAGTATTAGCACGGGACCGCCTTCCGTTGTAATCTTCAAAAAAAAATACATACATCATAATATATAACACTTACCTTTTAAGGCTTTGTCCCACAGCTTGAACCATTTAGGAACTAATACAGTCGAAGAATCATCATCGTTTAAAGCATAGAGATCTTGAACTTCCAATGGTCTCTTCAATCCTTTTGAGCAGATGTCATTGAACCAACGCATCGTCAAACGATTCAAGAATGAGGAAGTCATTTCTGGCGAAGTGATCTACAACAAATCAATTAAAAGAGCTTAATGAAAACAGAAAACATACCCCATCTTCATTAAGGGATTTATAGTTAGAAGCTGGGCTATCCGAGAAGGCATACATTACTGCCTCGATAGCAGTTATGGGCCACCAAACCAAGTAAGCAAAACAGCGAGCATGATCATAGAACCCCATTTTCTGAAAGATAAGACCTCAAGCTTAAAATACAAACCAGAAAACACAAACCTGAGAGCTACCAAGTCTATGTAACCAGTAATATAATTCAGGAACACCGCAAAAAGCAAATAATACCCAGGATAGGAACAGACCGCCAGATGTGACTTTTCCATATACTCGACAAGAATATCCAAATATGGATAGAATAATCTAAAATAAAATAATAGCGAATAAGCATATTTTATTATCAAGGCAAACTGTGAACTAACCATTGCTAGACAGAGCATCAATGGATAGACAAATTCCACGGCATCCGGAAAATCAGAAGCTACTGCTTGATAGAAAGCCATGGCAAAAAGCAAAAAGGATAGTATGACGAGAGTTATTGCGAGCGTCTAAGATTATATAATTATATTCAAATATCTTTTTTTTTGTTGAGAAAAAAAAGAGGAAGAAGAAAACATGATTACTTACCACTTTAGAAAGCAAAAGACGTGTCCATGGCAAAGGATTTTCATTTCGATAAAAGATTTGTCCAGTTAGAACGGGGGCACAAAAAAAAGTGAATAAGCATGGAATCCATACGAGAACCGTATGATGAAAACATTGAGTCAATGTTGGAATATGAGTTGAATTCCATATATTATCATCCTATAATAAAATATAATTGATTTAAATGACAATACAGATGAAATTATCAACAAAAATATAATATAATAAAGTAAAAGAATGAAAGATATCAATGTAACTGACTAACCCAGAACTTTTCGCCGCAAAAGGCATCTAAACCTTTTAGATGATCCGAATAAAGAGTTGGTTCCATTAACTATTGATAAATATCTGCCAATATATTTTCAGCTAAGTTTTGTTATAATGTGTTGTTAAATCAATATTGCATTAGAGAAGAAGATTTAGTCCTTGTTATAAGAGCTGAAAAATAATTTTAATTTGTTCGCTTATCACCTATTAGTATCAAACATTCACAAGCATTTTCTCAATCACTATTGAAACATCAAGAAAAAGAATAATATTAATAAAAACGATAATAAATAACAATATAATCTATTAAGTGACAAACAATTAAGATAATTATATTGAATTATCGTATAACACTGTCTATAAATATCTTGGCGCCTAAATGGTCATCTCTTAGTATGTCCTTCTCTCGCTCCATCTACTCACCAACTCATCTAAAATGATCTACAAATTGATCAAAACTGATCTGTCTGTACTGAGGAAACTATAAGCAGCTGCCATTTTCACATTATTAACCAATTGGCAAGAAAGTTCAAACACAAATTTTTAGAAAGAAAAGATGAAAAAAAAAGTTTTTGTGCACTCAAATATAATTTTGATAATAATAGAATTGAAAAAGAACAAAAAAAGCTTGTAAAGTTGAATGAAAAAAAAGTCAAATCGTCTTTCAAATTGGCGATAATTCATGAAGAGGGGGTAGACAGCGAAAACTGTTGAAGTGACTGATAAGGAAATCCGCTACTGACATACGACGAAACTTAGAAGTTTGTCTCTTACAAATCTTCATTTAGAAAGTGCGCAAAGACTTTGCCGGAATTTTAATAGATATACATGTATATATATGTAACAATGATGATCTTATCACAAATAATGCTTTTGATAATCATCGTTGTTGACAAACATATCACGTGTGGTATAAGAAATACATTAGCATAAGATGTTGTTATGCTTGAGTTTAAACATTAATCAAAAGATTTTTCTTAATGTAATTAAAGATGGTTCTGACCTTCTAGTCACATGATATGATATGGTAAGTAGTTAGTAAAAGAAACACATGTGATATAGTAAACGATAGGAGATGGAGCAATTTGTATGATAAGCTAGCTAGACAACAACGTTCTCAAATGGTCATTTATGGATGTCCGAGATGAAAGTTTATTGTTTCTTCCTCTGTATTAGTTGTTTTTGGTATTCATCATAAGAATATTGTACAAAACATTGTCCTCTCTCTCTCTCTCTCTCTCTCTCTCTCTCTCTATTTCTCTATTTCTCTTTCTTACTCGACACCTCTCTAACATATGTAGTTTGGTAGTTGTGAGAGTTGAATTGGTTCATTTCCAATAACTTGTATCATTACATACAGTTATTTATTTTAAATGAATTTCTAATGTCTTTTGCCACACATTTCGATCATAAAAGCTTTCCAGAGAGTGAGAGAGAGAGGTAGCAATAGAGATAGAGAGAGATTGAACGATAAGCTTGTTTAGGCAATGGGAGGCATTATACCTTCTGACCGTAGAAGTGATCAAACAAAAAACAAAATTACATGATAAAAATATATAAAATCAAACATCATGTTGTCTATATAAATAAGAAGGAAAGAAAAAAAAGGATGAATGCTAAAGTTTCTCCAATCCATGAACGGTTTAGGCGTTGATAACAATTTTGAAAACGAATGTTAAAAAGCGTAATCAGTTAGATGTGTATTGAAGAAGCATTGTCTTTTTCGTTGATTCACCATCTACCCCCACTTCTCTATGTTCATGCTTTATCAGGCTGAATGTAATCTGATGGAATTTCTTCTGATCACAAAAAAAAAATTTTTTTTTTAGAAATTCCCATACATGCACAAGCAACCATACCCTATCTTGCCTGAAGCAAAAAAAATCTTTTTTTTTCTATTTTTATCAATATCAAACAGCTGAAATGACAAAGATCTTATGTCATTTGAGTCTCTAATCATGCCATCAGAACAACCTCAGGTATTCTACTGACATTCACCGTTTAGCGCCATATAAGTACATGGTTTATTCATTTTCTCATTGTTTTCAATCAGCATAATTTATAAAGCTGATTTTATAGTACATCTTGCCTATGATTTGCTCTGCTTTTTATCAGATCGTTCGAATTTTCATTTGCTGTCTTCCTCAGTAGTCCCTTCAGGCTATTTCGAATACAGTCGTATACTTTTCCTTTGGCTACGAAAGTCTTCATTTGAAGCACACACAGTTCTCATAAGTATCTCAGGCTAACAATGGAGGTAAATCATTTTTATATTATTTCCCATTCTTAATACTCAAAAAATATACTTTGTATAAAAATATGTCTTTGTAGGAAGCTGGTAAGATCGTAAGAAGTCAGAACACATTCAAAGTCCTAGTGATTGGTGATTGTGGGACAGGCAAAACATCAATAATTCGTCGATATGTCCATAATATGTATAATACAAATTATAAAGCAACTGTATGTTTTACTTCTTTCATAATTCAAAGTTAATTTGAAATTTGCCTGCCATGTAGTTCGATCTTATGCTCTTAGCTACAAACAGAAAAAAAAATCATTTTTGTAACAATATTTGTGTGGAGCGGTTGCGCAATTCTTATTGTCATTATGTAATCTCTTTTTTAATTTTATAATTTCAGATAGGAGTAGATTTTGCTGTCAAAATATTAGTGGTTAATACGACGGAAATAGTTCATCTTCAGATGTGGGATATATCAGGTACGCTAACTATTACTATTCTTTTGGAAAATTTGACAAATTTCTTCTGAAAATCGATTTTCCTCATATGTTTCTTTGTGTCGTATTCTTTCTTTGTTGAAATCATAGTCACTAGGTGAGAGTTTTATTAAGAGAGATACATTGATATGTTCCTATATCATGGAAGCACCAGAATAATGGGGGGAGGGGGAGTAAACTTAAGCTACGATTGAACAATTTCATATTTACAAACAATTCTTGAGCGATTTTAAAAACACACGGGATAGAAAGAAATAAAAAGAAAATAAGAGAGACAGAGAGAGAGAGTGTGTAGTTTGAACAATGACGTGCCTTTTGAAAATTAGCAATTTTTAAAAGGTTTTATCATTGTTTGTGTATTAGGGTAGTTAGAAGTTGCGCATTACAATCATCATGCAGTACAAACTGTTGACATCATAGGGCAGGAGAACTTTCAGAATAAAAAACTATTTTCAAATTTTTTGAGCAAAGTATAAGAATAACATCCGTTTCTATTCTAAGTGGCAAGGTTTCAGACAGAACGGTATCGTTAGGTGTTCAAGAAAGGAAAACACGAAAGATTGTAGTAATTGAGACATTTTGAAACAGAATAGCACATAAAATATTCTAAACTGTTTAAACTGATATTCTAACTAGTGTGACAGTGTGAGATGAAGAAGGAAAGTCTCAGTTGTTGAATACATGACCTATCTGAGTTTGTGCTGCGCTTGATTGTACTCGTCGATGATGATGCTCTTGGCCATTAGGATTGGCTAGTGCATATCCGTAGAACCTATAAAGTATTTTCTATTATAAAAATATTTTATGAAAAAAGAAAAAACTAAATGGTAGAGTGAGTTGAAAGACATGATGTGAGAGAAAAAAAGGTTTTAATTGCTGTTGGTTAGTTGGAGAAGAGAGCTCAGAAACTTTTTTTTCTGATCGTAAATGTGAGACTTCTAGAGTTTGTGATATGATTAGTTTTTATAAATAGTAATGAGTGCAGATAATTGAGTGCTTATATCTTACCCTGATTCAATTTGATATGGCTGTCCATAGAATCGTTTTGATGTATGATAGTAGAACGGGTTCTCATCGGCTGACCAATAGACCGATTGCTCTTCTCGTGCTTGTATGGATATCTATAGAATTTGAGATGCTTTAAATGTTTATATTTGTTATTTTTCTTTACAAATTTTAAGTTATTAAAATGGGATGATGATCAATATCCGTTAGCAACAAATAGATAGTTTTGAATTATATATTGCTTGCTGTTAGATATATGAAACATCCTTCTCTTGTGTGTTGTTACGATTAAGAGAGAAAAGAGAGATTATTTATAATTATTATGTGCGAGAAGATTGAAGCTTTACAGTTCAATTGGGTTATGACATTAGTAGAACGACTCAGCACTCATGTAAATCATGTTCCCGCTTTCGCTCAGCGCATTTAACCCTGCCACATCTCACGGTGTGCCTAACTATCATAACCCTTGTTGATTTCGATAACAATGACTCATCTCTATTTTTTTCGAAAAAAATTTGATTTAATTTTGAATATTCATGCGAACTGAGCGAATACAGGAATTTTTATATAAAAAATTTCAATTTTCTTACCGGACTAGCCTGACTGATGACGACAGGGCTTTGTTCACGGGTTCTAAATTGGCCTGTTCCGAAATGCTCTTCACCTAATGGTGCAACGACTGTTGAGTCAGGAGAAGCGGAACGATGGTGCAGAATATAGGAAGATCTTAAATTATCAAATCGTATGCGGCAGTGTTAAACTGCTATTCACCTCAATGAGCAAATAACTCCGCAGAAGGTAGCAATAACACATGCTAACGCAGCTCCCGCTGCCAGGATAAGAGCAACTTCATAGATTGTCTCTTGATCGGGAGTCGGTCGCAAAACATCATTCAATGAAATAAGGTTTTGCTGAAAATATTTGCTTGTCATTGCTTAACTGGATCGCAATCTCACCAAGTAATATACGTTCGTGATTGCCGGTGAAATGGTGAAAAGAGCCAATGAGGCAATAACAACATGGAGAAGCGATGAGGCGGCTAGTAGTCGTGGATAACATGTGCATCCGAGCTAAAGAATATTGATGGACTCCATTATTCCTCTACCACAATCTCACCTGAACAACAAAAACGGCGAGAGCTAAAGGTCCGTTACCGAGGCGGAAGAAAGGTACGTCCAATGGAACCTAAAGAAAAACTGTTCTCCACAGAAACAGAATAGTCCTCACTTCGCTATATCTCCATTTGCCTAATTCGAAAACGACATAATCTCCAGTAATGACAATGGCATAGAAAAGTGTTCCAAGACTGAACAACTGATGTAATCCTATGAAATTTGATGTAAGGATTAGTATTGATTGAAATATCTTTACTTGTGCTGTGACGGTATGAAGGAGCTGATTGACGGGCAACTTCACGTCCATAAATGATAGAAGATATGGTAGAAGTCAACAACTCAGCACCAAAGACCTAATGATGTTGAAATTAATCAGAGATTGAGAGATCATCATGAACTCACAGCTGTTGCGCAGGAGATTAAAACGATTTGGCCAATGAATGTTTTTCTCTCTCCGTTAACATAAACATCATATGAGCTATATTGGTAGATGAGATTGACTGAAGCACACATTTTTTCCAATGAGATTCCCATGCAGCAAATGTTCAAAATGAATCGCATAGTTATCATGGTTCTTCAATTGTATCTGGTTTAATGCCTTTCTTTCGTGTTTTTACCCATAGTTACTGCTACTCAGAATTCCTGTTGTTGCGAATAAGAAGCTCATCCATAGAAGATCTCCACCCAGAAACTCTCCTCTCCACTTAACATCCAATAATCCCAATATGGTGAGAGCCAGAAGACAAGCTCCCCACAAAATGTGTAAGAACGATAGTAATCTAATAAAATTGTTCTGTCCTAATCCTCTTATCAGTTACCTGCTCTGAATGCGTAACCCCTTTTCAATTCGGAGATGCATACTGAGGAAGTCCAACTGTAAGAAGTTTCCGATGAACACGCATGATAAAGTGCAGATGAAGAAGAGAATGCCTAAAGCAGGAGAGTGAAATTAGAATGATTATTCAATCTGTTACCGAAACAGCCGATAAGAACTCCATGTGCTACAGCCAAGATGTATCTGGGAGATGTACTTGTTGTCACTAAAATGCACCATGCACATAACTAATAGGGTCAAACGTACACATAGTAGCTCTAGTTTCATAGTAGTACTTCAAATCGTATTTATAAAATGGCATTGTGTTATGGTCAACTGTCTTAATGCACCAAACTGCTGCAACAACAGAGAGAGCCAAAGCGACCTAAGTCAAGAAGTTGTCCTCTACTTTGCTGATCACAACAAACTTTAAGATTGAGTTGCTCTTGAGTTTTTCCTCGGGATGCATATAAATCCATAACTCCACTACATACAGCCAACATTGCTGCTATATGATCCAAAGCTATTTTGATGTACTTATCGGTCCCCGAAACCTAAATATGGTACATATCCATAAATTCTGTACTTTTTTTTGTTTCCCAAATCTCTTTTTATGAATGATGAAGAGATTTACCTTTTCATGCTCATATTCAACAAACACGGCTAAGCCCAACACGCCCAATGCAAAAACTGTTTTTATAATTCCCACTGAGGCTAAAGCTTTACGAGAGTTGTACATGGCCATTTCCTGTTCTCTCTGAATAATTCGTTTTTTTAGCTTTCTTTCTCAATAATTTCTAGATTTTACTGATTGTAAAGGATAAATTGGAGATGTGACAACAACCAATTTTTCCAACAGATAGAGAGCTACCAAAGAAACCAAAGCAGCCAGCGCTCCCAAAGCTGAAAACTTTTATAAAATTTTCCGGCTTATTTCATGAAATAACCGATCATGATGGAAGAAATAACGATTCTTGCCGCATAGTTACGATCTTCTTGTCCAAGAGAATCCTGAGTATGTTAATAAGCTTGTCCTGGCAATGATTATACTCACCTGGAATCCAGGAACTTGTTGTACTTGACGTAAATTGTCATGAGCTTCAACAATCTAAAATATCATAACGTTATACAGTGGTTGAGATATTTGATAAACTCTGTAAGTTGTGAACCCATAGAATACTCCTGTAGCTACTCCGATAACCAATGATACAAAATACAGAGTCTTTGTTACTATACTTCCATGGCTACGAAGAAGAGAGTAAATTCCTGAAATTCTTGAGAAGTTAACATGTGTTTGCTTAAGTTTCCCAAAAATTGCATTTAATTCTTCAACGATTCACCAGCTTTCAAACAGTTTTCCAAACCTTAACACCGTTTTGAACTCAAAAAGATGAAGTTATGTTCCCTTTTTCTCTCATTCTGTTTCTCTCTTTTAGTCCATTTCTTCTACAGCATCTCATTATTTCTGTGCTTTTCCCATTCTTTGGTTGCACAAAACCGACTTAACAAATAGTGAACTAGATTGAAAGTGGAGATGAGAGAGAGAGAGATAACGAGAGAAAAAAAGAGATATTGAAATAGAAGACAAAGAAAAGAGAGAAAGAGACAATCATCTAGAAAGAATGCTCTCACGTAAAGTTCCGGACTGTGAGTCTCAGAACAGGCTGGAGTCTGACGTAGCGTTGTGTCAATTGATTATATGCCTATCGGCAACAAAAAATGAGTGTAAGACATTTCATGGGCAATAGCACCAAAAATCATGAAAATGTTTGTACCTATGAGTCCTGTTAGCGCATGAATCCAATTTAAGAGCCTCAAGTCAATATCACGGAAATTGAAGATGTTCACATCAGAAAACTGACTACCGGCTAAGCCGACAGATCCCAGGCCGCAGAATATCAAAACTGCATTACATGCCTTAAATGATAAACCAATTATATTCCCTGTTGAGGAAGAAGTGAGGGTGTTCGAACCTGAATCTGGCAAACATATGCTGAGCGAGCGCTCATCACGTTGATTTGTATAGTTGAAGTAAGCTCTCAAACGTTGTTTTGTTGTAGAAGCCGATGAAAAAAGACTATTCCGGCAATATAGTACTTGATTTCTACCTTAATTATATATATATTAGAAATGAGAAACGCTACGACATAGGACAACGAGTGAGAGGATGAGAGTGTTCGGAGCAAAAATGGAAAAAGAGAACATCGATGAGTCAGGTCTCCATAGCATTTGAAATATTGCGAGAGTTCAATAAACCTCCGTCAAATTCAGTGACCAAATAGCTAAGAGGATTATGAAAACTAAAATGGAGTGAATAGTACTAAAAATATAAAAAATAGTATTCGTAATAAACTATATCATATAGTTAATAAAATATACGATCTGGATGAGAAGCCTCAATGGAGTCATGTAGAGTATAATGAACGGAAATGAAGAGAGAAAAAGATGAAGAGAGGAGAGAAAACGAGAACCGAGACTCAAACTGTTTCCTCTATTCATCATATATCGTTCTGTCAACCATGCCAACTATACACGACAATAGGTTTTACTCGAAATATTTAAAAAAAGAGATTAGAAACTGTAGAGTGTCTGAAGCGTTGCCTTGTGGAAAACCTTGTTCTAACTGACCAGTCAGATGGCATTAACCCCCAAAACCGGAAAATGCTTCTGTTTACTTAGATAGTATGAAGACTGATTGAACATACAACAAAAATATGAAATGAAATATGAAAAAATAATTTGAATTTCCAAATAACATACGAGGCTAAGGGGTATGATATCATCTTTGATTCAAGCTCTAGGTTTGTATATATTTATAAAATAAATACAAAATCTTCAAGTTGAAACATAAATTTGACAGCTGAATGATTTTGCGCGATCGTTTCACATTCCATCATCTTTCATTTTGTAAAATTTCCAATTTCGGTGGTCAAAAAAGGAATTTTGTCAACTATTTTTGATTTATTTGTTGACCTAAAGCTACGGTCACTTACTCCTTTTTTGGAAACGTAAAAAATGAAGAAAAAAGATAAAGAGAACCAGAGAGAACTAGAGAGATATGAATGAGAGCAAAGGACATGAATCCTTTGCAACAATGGACTTTAGAGCATTAAAAAAAACTTTTCTCGTCAATTATTAAAGAAAATGAATGTTCGAGAAAAAAAATGCTTTTATGAGGGATTCTGTGTGACACATATCGCGAGACAGTGAGACGTAGTAATGCTGCATGAGGAAAGTTGGAGTTGACTAGCTAACCAACTAAGACAGTGTTTCTAATTGTGCGTTGCGGATAGTTATGATACAGATTAGATGTATTATGTGTTAGTGAGAGAAGCGAGATGAACCTTTTTTTTGAACTGGGGAAGAACGCAGCACATAATAGAGAAAGTTGCCTAAACTTTTAGGAGAGACGAAGATCAGGCGAGAGTTAAACGCAAAACTTTCTCACAGGAGATATCGTTAACAAGAGAACGAGTGAACATGATTTTAAGATGAAATTTTTCTGATTAATCAAATTATTATGATATGAAATTTGTCGGAAGTGGCTCACAAACGAAAAAACCGGAACTACATTCCGCAGTCGTCTTCTAGCTTGTTTACATGAGGCTTGATCGCGTCACCAAGGTGCTCGCACATCATCAGAAGGCGGTACGTCCTTGTCGTCTGCCGACCATTTCCCAAGCACACAAATTTACTAACCGGAAGAGAAAAAGCCTGAGGGCGTTAAGCACACGAGTGAGAAAGTTAGAATTTGAAGGATGAGAACAACAATAAGAAAGAGATGAGATAGACGCAATGAGATAATTTTCAAGAGCAGATAATGTCGGAATTCTTGAACGGCTGATGAACATTTTGAAAGAAGGCTATGAAAGAAAGAAAATGAGGGAGATGAATGAGTACGCGGCTGAGGCTAAGCGAGCATCGTGAGGAACTGATAATAGTATCCTGGCCGGCAAAAGAGCCTATCAAGACCGGTTTCGTTCGGCTTCAGAAAGCCAGAATACGAATCACGTCAATAGGAGGATCGGTAAACTCATGTATGCCCGAAGGCTATATCTACGAATTACACGGAAAAAGACATAAGATGGTTGTATGGCATGAACGCAAACAAGAGCAAGAGCTATACTCGAGAAGAAGACAGAGCCTTCAGAATAGGTTCAACTATTTTTTCGATCGAATTGATTGAAACCAAAATGGTTGGATTCAAAGTGCTAGTTACAGCGGAAATTCAAATTTGCAACTTCATGACATTGAACTGTATTTATTCTTATTCATGTTCATGTCATAGTTGAGAGTTAAGGATTAACAAATGTATGATTGAATTAGAAGTATGAAGAACGCTGTTTCTAAAGAGTTATGAAAGAAGGAAGAAGACGCTCGTTCTATACGGATGCGCATGAGTACACCAGCTGGCTTAGCATGAAGTTTGTGAGAAGAGACCTGGCGTTGATGTTGGTATTGTACGAAACATGTTGAAAACTGAGAAAGATGCAACTTTCCGTGGAGACGAGAAATGATTAAAGAGAGAAAAGTGTGTAGAAAAAAATGGAAAGAAAAATACTGCGAAGCTCAACTTGCAACTTGTCCGAGCTTGTTCTCGTTGGTTTGTTTCAAACATCTCGCAATCACTGCTTGTCATCCGAGAGCGAAATTGAAAAAAAACCAAGTTGAGTCTTTTCCTATTTTACTGTAGTAAAAGAATTTGCATAAAAGCTGAAGGCAGCAGAAAACAGAGGAAATGTCATAATGTTACATCACCATTTTTTTGAACAAGAGCATTGTCCTCATGCTCAAGTATCATTTGTAAATCTGTTTCGAACACCATTTGGCAAACAATAGCGAAAGGTTGTTCTTACAGAATTCTTATGGTTTTAGCGTAATTACTAAATATTTGATGAGGCATGAAGTATCATATATTTGCTTTTTTTTTCTTCAATTGTTAAGGACAAAAAAATGAAAATTCATAAAGCTTCAGGGCTGATGAGCAATATACATGTTCATGTTTCAGGACAGGATCGGTATGGTGTGATGACACGAGTATATTATAAAGATGCACATGCTGCTGTGATAGTTATGGATAGTACTAGGTAATGATTCTAAGGTTTTTACTTTGAAAAGGGTTTATCAACAGAGAGCAGACGATTGACGGTGCTTTGCGATGGAAGACAGATTTAGACCAGAAAATCAATCTGACGAATGGCGAACCGATTCCAACCATATTATTGGCTAATAAGGTATTGCAATAGTTATTATCATAATTATTTTATTTTTTGTTCAGAATGATTTACCGAACAGTATAACAGACGATAAGTTAGAAGAGCTGCAGAGAGATCATGGATTTGTTTCCGTTGTCAGAGTATCAGCAAAAACCAACCTGGGAATTGATGAAGCATTCTCCAGACTAGTTGATGTTGTAAGCAGGAATCCTTCAAAATCATTGTTTCACACTGATATTTTCAGATTGAAACAAAAGAGAATAATGGTTTTTATAGTTCTGTCTTGTTCAATAGAGATGGTAATGTTCGTTTAGGAGAAGCTCACAACAAGAAAAGAGAAATTAACTGTTGTTATCGATTATAAATCAATATCTTATATACATGACTGTATATTTTGAAACTTGAATGCATTTTTCATTGAATAATTATTAACTATGAGATAATTATATTAATTTATTTGCATTTTTATTAAACTGAAATACAAAAAATATTTAATATGAAACCTTTTCATCTCTACAGAAGTTATGGGAGCCATAGAATGTTTTTTGCAAGCAATTTCAGGAACTATATTGATAGTTGTCAAGATATAAACTTGAGTGTCACTGTGACGTGGTAGATTCAAAAATAAAATTTCACGAGAAGAAGAGAGTCCACAAGCTACCACTCTGTGCCGCGAGACATGTGAAAATTAAATCAAATATACGACCGCTCTGTGGGTTCAGCGGTACGTACAAATGAAACTTTGTAAGAAACCGCTTAACATAACGCAGTTGCTGAAAATGAAACTCTATAAGCGACCGCTCTATGCGGCAAGACAGGTAACAATGAAACTTCACTTCGTTGAGATATCAAATATCTATAAAAACCGTTTGATTTCTCACGTGAAAATATACCTGTTCTCGTGTTCAGATTTTCATTTCCATATACGGATCTCGAGCCACATAAAAACAACACTGTAAGCGCAATCATTCCAATCTCGACACATGAGAATAACACTCAGTTTGTCAATATGATCAAAGTGTAAGATATGATCAAAAGCAATTGTAACTTGTAATGTAATTTATTGAATATATATACTGTAATATTTATGAGTAAAGCGCATGTTCGTTCACCCTTTATTCTTATCTAAAATCGTTGTTATCGTTGACCCTCGTTTTGTCTTTTCTCTGTTGGTATTCCATACTTCACTTTCAGCCAATGAAATCTCTAGTCTTCTTCAGTTTATTATACACTAATTGTTTTTGTAGTTTCCTGGAATACAACAGCGAAGTTTGTGTCACACATGTACACTATATACTATCCATTATGTTTTTTTTACAGTATGCTCGAAATTATTTTGACTATGCCGCAGCGGTTTACTCCAAGGATGTTATGCAATGCCTTTCGAACACTGTGTCTACAACAAACTTGCTGATGCTGCATCATGAGGTTCGTTTTTTATGATCAAACTTGTTGAACTCTTTCGAAACAGGAGTTTGTTTGCATGAGTGATAAATCGAATTGTAAGGTTCTTGCTGTATCATCAGTGCAAGATAAAATTATACATATTTCTGTCAAAGGTCCGAATGAGATCGATAAAATTGATAAAGATTTTTTACGGAAAATTAGAGGAACTGTTGAATTTTTGGATTTTGGCTTGATAGATCATCACTTCAGCACTGCTCATCAATGCACTTGGTTATAACAGCGGTAGATTGTATTGAGAAAAACATTGTTACAGGAAAATAATCAAAAACATTTTGAAATCTGAGAACACATCTGGTTATGATATTGTATTTTCTGGTCATTCAACGGGAGGAGCTTTGGCAACATTAGCAGCATTACAGGCTTACAGAATCGGGGTTCCTTCCTATTTGGTTCGTGCTTAATGCCACATTACAATACATTCAAATTGATAGATACATTTATATACTTATGGCGAGCCGAGAATTGGAAATATACTGTTCGCTAACAATGTTGACCGTCTCTTTGCTGATTCTTGGAGAATAGTGAATGCTCGAGATGTGGTTCCGCATTTGGCATCGTGTCGGTATGTTCTACTTACTATCCATAACTATTATTACTGCATCAGAGACGATGACATGGATATCAAATTTGGGAAAGATTGTGCTGAATCCTCTGTATCGGCACCTCAT